CACTATAAAGGATAATTCTGTGCAGGTGATGGGAGAATGAATACATCCAGACTACATGGCATTATTCATTATTGGCTGCATTCACATATGTTACTAAGCCAACATTTCCGGCTGCTGTGAACACCTCCATTGTTTCCACTTGGCTTCTCCCAAGAAGCTCTTTCTGTGGTTTGTTTAGCATGCCATCAAAAGCAGAAAGACTGCAGTGTTACTTCCTAACAAGCTTGTTAGGAGAAGAACAAGCCAGGAAATGTTAAGCAAACCTTGGAAAGTACTTCTACAGTTTGTTTAGCCACTCCCACTTATAGGAGGAGCCCCTGAGTGACTAACCCCAACTAGTTGTTTAGTCATGGTAAGTCAGAGTTCTGACAAGTTCTTGGTGTGTCTTAGATTTCATTTAATCGCAGTGTTTTGAATCAATTATCAGGGACCAGGAAAGCAGTCTAATAATTTGCAGGTAATATGTTTAAGCTGCATGGTGATGTTCCTAAGGACAAGGCAAATTAATCAAGCTCTCGTGCTGTTAGTAATTTTTTTAAAAGTAGCATTCAAATCACTTGTGCCTATTTTTTTAAAAAAAAAAAACCTGGGAGAAAACATTTTCTACTGATTCAAAGCATTCTCTTTTGGCTCAGCATAAACATGTGCCTAGTTTACATTACTCTTTGGCTTCAAAATATGGATGGAAAATGTGTGTGTACATTCCCAGAAAAGTCTAGTAATCTAGATACTATACCAGTCTGCTCTAGCCCAGAACCATCCAGATGTGATTCCAGATGTTGAAACTAGAATTCCCAGAAGTTGAGACTACAACTCTCTGTCAGCAAGGCTGTTAACTATTCTGTACTATATTATGCCAGCTTTCCTAACATGTAATTACTAGGAAGTACAAGGCAATTGACATTTAGGACAAGAATCTTTTCAATACACATACACACACAAACAACAATAGCAAGTTTAGGGTAACTACAGATCACCACCAGATCATTCCTATCAAACTTTACCTTGTCAGTGTCTACACTAGACAATGCATAGAAAAAATGGCCTTAAGTTATAGTTATCCATTTATTTTAATACAAGGAAAAAACATTGTGACAGGAACATTAGCAAAACACTGGGACTGTCTACCTAGGCCATTCTTTTCTGAAAATTGCAAGGGATTGGATTACCTGGCTTTGTGATCCCTTCCAGCCCCATAATTGTCCCTTCTAGCCCCATGATTCTATGACTGTACTTCCCAAGTATGATCGTGACTTTTGTGAGTCGACTAACAGGGCAGTGTAAAAGGTGGATTGCAGCCTGATCCCTGTATCCTATTTTCTTGAACATAAAGCCAGCCTTAGCAAAGTGATAGAAAACAGCATGGTGCTCTGACTTTAGTCCAGAGCAGGAAGAGTTAAGGAGTGAGAATGTACCAAATGAGAAAGCACCTGCTGCCACTCTAGGAAATAACATTACAAACTGTCTTTGCAGCTCAGGAGTTAGAGTCAGACATTGATTAGCTCAACTGCAGAGAAGCTCCTGAAAACTAACACCACTGTGGGTACACAGGAACACAATGTGGATGCCTATGAGGACAACCTGTGGAGTAAAGTGAAATGGAATGCTCATAAGTTGCTACTTCAGCTTGCAGAGCGAAGTTCTGTCTGAACAATCTTAATGAGAAATAGGAAATGGAGACAGGACTATCCATCATTTTTTTCCCCTGAGTGGGATTGCAACACTTCTACAATTGTACCCTACAAACACCCATTCCCAATTATAATACTTTTATTCAGACACAAAATATTGACACTTGAGTAAATAGAAATTGAAATAAGGAAGAACTACTGGAGAGTGATAAAGCAAGTCTTTTACCCACAGGAATTCCCAAGTTTCACACACACACACACACACACAGACTTGTGTATGTGTGTGTGTGTGTGAGAGAGAGAGAGAGAGCTTTCCATAGAAGGCTGAGAAAATTGATATCTGAACTCTTTTTAGTTAATGTAGAGGAACCAGGACTGTGTTAACTAGACCAATAACCTCTTTATAAAACAGTTTCCTAGGCTCTTAAAGACATCTGGTTCTTTGTAAAATGAACATCTGACTCAACTATCAATTATTGATTGAAAACCATATGTCCCAACCCAAAGAAAGTTAATAGTGTTTGGTTTTTACTGACACAATTGATTAATTTAAATTTTACTGATTTCAATTAAATTCTCTAAACTGGGTTTTACAATCCTTAGAAAGATAGTATGGAAAGTAGCAGAAATTTTCCGCAAAGGTCTGTTTTACTGTTACTCTGAGTACCTTAAGAGAGCAAATAGCATTGCTGAAATATTTACAGAAGAAGAAAGGCATTTAATTGCACTAATTTCTTACCATCTGTCCAAATGTTGTCCAAAGCTTCTAAGGCAGGGGGAGGGGTAAGGTAGATCAGGCACTTGAAATGATAAATTAATTTTTACACTTACAGTTTTTAAAAATCAGCAAGCCTTACTTTGGATTTTTAAATCTAGGAGTAAAAGTCAAACCATATAAAACTTTGCTATTCTGCTAATAGGAAGGAAGGAAGGAAGGAAGGAAGGAAGGAAGGAAGGAAGGAAGGAAGGAAGGAAGGAAGGAAGGAAGGAGTCATTAACAACAGTATCTTTCTTGTAGAGGACACTGGCTGTATTTCCATAAAACATCTCCTGAAATGCAATCCACCTTTTAGCTGACTGCATGATTCAGTAAATTGGTCTAATTGAACAAACTATGGGTAATTTATGGGATGTGAATCTAGCCGCTCATGATGTAAAGTCAGATTTCTCTATTGCCTGCCTCTCAAAATGTAAATATATATGGACAAATATTGGTTCATTAGAAAACACATGCAAATTAAAAGCATCTCTCTTCAGTCTCCTCCCAAGTACTAAGTCATTTCATACAGGCGCTCATTGTATTGTTGGTGAAAACTTCCTGCCCTGAAATATTTGTTTAGTACCTATCTTTTTTTCTGCCTGTTCCCTTCTCATCCCAATGGAGACTTGATTAATTCTTTTTGTTGTTCATGCTCACAAGCCTCTTCTTTACCTCTGAAGAGAAGGATGAAAACACTTTGGGATAGATGCCATGCAAGGTTACTTCCAATGCCGATGCTGAAAACAGTCAGATATGAAGAGGGCTGATAGCTTGTGGGGGTGGGGAAAGTAGATCGTGGAAGGAATGTAGTTTACTTAAGGATTTATTTACTGGAATGGACAAGTCTGCAGGTCAATTTAATTTGTCTGCAGTATTTATACAAAAGGATCAGAGTAGGTGAAAGAGCCAAGCTGACAATTTGAAACCAGTTGGACCACTTCAGCTGGTAAAACTTATATTGGAATCTATATAGTTTGTTTATTTCCAAATACATGCAAAAGGTGTAAGAACAGTGTGTAAGAGAAGCACCCACTACAATAAAATGAGAAAGTGCTACAGCAGGACTTAAAGCAAATCAATGACTTTACACAAGGAGTTTGTGGAGCCATGGGCTTTTTTTATTAGACCTACCAGCTCTGTGCCCCAAAAATCCAAATCTCCAGTAAAGGGCAAGATAGATAGATAGATAGATAGATAGATAGATAGATAGATAGATAGATAGATAGATAGATAGATAGATAGATATGCCCCCATCCTGCTTTAATGCCATCTCATGGTCAAATTATTATAGCCCAGGTTTGGTAGCCCTAATATCAAGCACTGGTTTTGGAAAATATTTGGAGTGGTGTGTGTGTGTGTGCTTGTGTGTGCAGGGAAGGCCAGACTGGGCACAACAATGAACTAAGAGCCATGGGTTGAAGAGTTCATAGATAGCTACGAGGGTGGTATTCAGGGTTAGAGAAAGAAAGTTCTAAACATGCTCTTACCTCTAATTCATTCAACAGAATAAAATAAATAAACTCTGCCTACAGCTTCTTTCTCTTCCTGTGGAATATCATGGACCAAATAGCAGGCTTGAAATGAAGGTTTGGGATAAATATTGCAGAGAATTTCCTCTTCTAATATTTTTTATAAAGGAGGTTGCTAGATAGGAAGATGAAGGTGAGTTTAAGAATGGGTGCCAGGACATTACAGTGGCAGGGGAGGGTTACTGCTTAGGGGGGGGGGAGAGGACAAGAGGACAAAGAGAACTGAGGGAGTTGAATTTAAGGGAAGAATTGATGAAGTTATGTGTGTGTGTGTGTGTGTTTTGGGGGGGTTAGAAATCAAGGTCCCCAAGTGGAGCTTGATAATTGGGATGATTTCTTATCCACTTGATAAGAATAAGAGATAAGAGATCATCCCAATGAGGAGGCTGCCCTGGAACTATAGGAAAGAAAGGATTACAGACTGAATAACCCTACAAGGAAAAAGGAGGTGGTGAGTATGCAAAATATGAGGGAGCGGAACTTGCTAGGACCTAGTTGTAAAAGGCAGTTTTCTATTGGATTACTTGAGAATACACCCTGTAAAAATCCCAAAGACACATACACAAACCCAAGATATTTAGAGACCCAGATGCCCTTTTCTTCCTGAATACCAAACTTATTTCAATGCAGGAACACACACCTACGTTTCTAAGCGAGACCAAAGGTACTTTGCACATGCTCAGAAACAATCGCACTGCCCATCACTTCACCCCTTGGTTCCCTCAGCATGCTCGGTTTCGCATACCAAGAGGCCAACAATACCCGGGGTGCGCAAGTTTAGTGTGGATATTCATTGGACAGAGTTGAAGAGAATTCCTCCCAGATGTGTACCCTGGCGTCTTCTCTCTACTGGATGTGTGAGGCTGGCTGTCAACGAAGCTCTAAATTTAGAGCTGGGCAACTCGGAAAAGCAAAAGGGAGGCCGTGGGTTTCCCAGCGAGTTTTCCAAGCTCTCCCAACCACCCGGGAAGGGAGAGGAAGGGGAACCCGGGCGTCCTTCGTGCCGCGCCCGACACACCCAAGGAGGCTGGAGCCCTGCCCTGCTGGCGCCATTCAAGAGCAGCGGAGCCACGTACGTACCGGTACCAGGCGAGTCCCCGGCCGTAGTTCCGATCGAAGAAGTGCGGCTCGGCGCCGGCCGCCCTCACATCCGGATGCACCCGCAGAAACTCGAGCAGCGCTCGGGTGCCGCCCTTCTTCACGCCGATGATCACCGCTTGCGGCAGCCGCTTGTTGCCTTCTCCCCCCGGCTGGGCTTGCAGTAAGGGATCCCGGGGCGTGCCAGCCGCCTCTTCGCCTTGAGCCACGGGAATCGGGGCCGGATCCCGGGTGAGGACGCGCGCTGCCCCGGCTAGGCAATAGCTGGCGTAGAGAGACATGAGCACGGAGCCCAGAACCAGCAGCAGCTTCCGCAAGGCGCGGCGGGGCAGGGGCTCGGGGCCAGAGGAAGAGACGGGGGGCGTCCCTCCCCGGGCCATGCTAGGCGGCCCCCCGCGCCGGGGCCATCGCCCCCTCCTCTCAGACGCTTTGCGCTCGGCGGGGAGCGGACAGCCCCATGGACGGCCGATCTGGAGCCGGACCCGCCGCCGTAAGGATGGCGAGGAGAGGTGGGGTCGTCCCTTCCTCCCAACCGGAGAGTGGGGTTCACGGGCGCCTCATTCCGGCGCGCTAGCGGGAAGCCGCGGGCTTCTGCTCCGACGGCGAAAAGGGCCGGAGGGAAAGAGGGGGAGAAGGCTCCCTTTCGGGGATTAAGCGAAGGCCTGGCAGAGACGGGAGCATCGCGCTCCGGCTGCGGGGGCCTGGGAGGGTCTCGGCAGGGTCGAGTTGGCCGCCTGGATACTAAGCCGAGCTACTCGCCAGAAGCGACGCATCTCAGCGGTGGGAAAACTGGCGGTCGCCTTCCAAGCGGCTCTCCCGCTCTGCTGAATTTGCAGCCAGGGGGAGGAGATCCTGGGAAGTTAAGAAGCTGCTGGATCCGGAGAAGGCGGCGGAACGCGGAACTTCAGTACCTGGGCGAGGATCTTCAGCTGACACATCTCCCCCCTTCTCCGGACCAGCGAGGCGGAGATCTGGGCTGCCGGGCACTTGAAAGGCCAGTGCCGGATGGGATGGGACTGAGCACAGGTTTGGTACTCTGTCTCCGAGGACCGAGGCTGGCGGGACTTTCTGGATTCCGGTGGAAAGGGAGAACCAGATGGAAAGACTCAGCGGCGGTCGGTTCCAGGAAGGCAGCAGAAGCTGCCCGCTGTCCCAAAGAGGTTCCCCTGCAAAGGAGTTCGGCGGGAGGATGTCCTCACCTTGCGCGAACGGCTGGACAGGCGGACGGAAAGTCCTCCGCAAAGCGCTCGCCTGTCACCTTCCCGGTGGGATTCTCTCTTCCCGGCTGCTCCGGCGGCTGCCACACGTGGAGCTCTCGATTGTAGCTCAAACTTCTCCGAATGGCAAACTCGCCCCCCCTCACACCCACACCGGGCTGTTAACGACGTACCCAGAAACCAATAAGAGCTTGAGAAAAGAGAGAGGGGCGGATCTGCCTTTCAGAGGGGATTCTGAATAGAGGCGGGGGCAGAACTAATGAGGACACGCCCCTTCGCCAGGTTCCGGAGTGGCTGCTTTGGCGGTTCAGAACAAGGGAGGTTTCGTTACGGTTGAATGTCACTGGTGTGAAGATCTCTGGATCTTTTTGTGCAGTCTTTCTCACAAAAAAACTTGCTCAGGTGTATGCCTTCTGAGCATACATCTACCCGCACCGCTTCCCATCTCTGCAATCGGATTCACCCTCAAAGATGCGGAGCACCCAGTATTTTAGCCCGTCAAGACTGGGTGCTCCACATCTTTGACGGGGAATCCGATTTCAAAAATGAGCAGCGGTGTGGGTGACGGCTTGGGATAAAACTGGTTCAGAGTCTGATGCTCTGGCAAATTGTTTAGAAGAGGCAGTGGAGCAAGCAAAGCCTGGTGGGGAGAGCTGCCTAGTTAGTGGACCATGTGAGTGGACCGTCTTTGAGGTTGACTAAATGCAATGAGGAGGAAAGAGATTTTTTTTTACTTCTGGTGCTTGCTGAAAAGAGAATTCTTCACTCCCAGCTTGCTAGACAATTTATTAAAATTACCCTGATCTACACACATCTAGTAAAGGTCCTCCTTTAAAGCTGGCTACTTGTGGGGACATACGGAGAGTCAAGGGAAATTTAAGTCTGCTGTCTTTAAATAAAGACAAATAAAACCAGTGAGAAATGAACACAACAAACCCGAATATTTAAAGAAAGCTAGAGCAAAGTAACCACAAATAGTTAGAATCAAAGCAATGCCCACAATCTATAGAAAGAAGCTTTTTTTAAAAAAACCTTGTTTTTCCAAGTTAGGATTATACTTCCAAGCAGGGGTCCTGTCTCTTTAACATTTTGTGTGGTAGCAGATGCTGGTAAATCAATAGGAAAAGCTTTTTGCATCTTGGCTAAAGGCCTATCGTAGAACAGCCCAGCCAGAAAGACAAAATAGCAACCGGCACTTCAACAGAGTTTGCACTGCAGATGGAAGCAGATGCTTGTGTAAACAGTGACACAAAACACCTCACACATTCCCCCCCCCCCCCAAGTGGTGTTGTTCTTCAAGCTGAAAATAAAATTTCACAAGTAAAATGTAGTAGAATCACTTTGTTGAGGTTAAAAAAAAAACCTTAAGTGCATCTATACATATTCAAAGATTTACATTTTGCTTCGACTTCTGGAGTGTTTTACAATGTAAGCTTCTCTCAATCATATATTCATATATATAAAATCATGATATTTTCACAAAGCAGTTCATTGTAGATTCCCTGCACATACCAGGATTTCATTCTTAATCCCTGCAATAGAGTAGCATTTATTAGAGCTGACACCATTTTCTTAATCTTTTCTCCAAGAATCTTTTGCATAAATTGGACAGATCCAAAAGAATTATAGGATTATATTTGTAAAAACCTGTAAAAACACAGACAAATCATTGCACCTATAAGGCCATTCCCATACCAGTACATGCTTGCTCATACACTCAGTCTTTAGATTTTTCTCATTGTTCAACTATTCTTCTTGGAGACTGAATGATCTATTACATTTAACTGCCTTTTAGATTCAGACTAAGTGTATCAAAGCCTACAGGAAGGTCACTTGAAATGGTTCTAATAATTTCTGGAGTTGTAGACAAATGATGTTTATGAAATTTGTTACTTAGATTCTCTCATGTTTATTTGCAATTTAAATTTAAGCTATTTCAGCTTTAAAAATATCAAAGAATAACATACCTTCTATTCCTTTATTAAACAAGTCAAAAGGAGGCCCTCTCAAGGTCCAGAAGATGTTAATGGGAGACTTAAGCATGTGTCTATAATCAAGATTGTAGAGGAGGCCTATCTCCTTAGAACAGTGGTTCTCAACCTGTGGGTCGGGACCCCATTTGGGGTCGAACGACCATTTCACGGGGGTCGCCAAACAAGGCTGTCTGCCATTTTTCCCCCTTTTCTTTGGCCACGCCCCTGGCACCCAGTGATGTATAAGTGGTTGGGGGTCACCACAACATGGGGAACTGTATTATGGGGTCGCGGCATTAGAAAGGTTGAGAACCACTGCCTTAGAAGAACATTTCATTGTTATCAGTTCCAGATGCAAAGATCCAGAAGAAACCCCAGATTATATTTTTCTCCAATGAAGTGCACTATTCCATCCAAAATTCTGCATTCAGCTTCAGTTTCTTAACATTTGAGGGGCTGCCACAAAGAAGAGGGGGTCAAACTATTCTCCAAAGCATCAGAGGGCAGGACAAGAAACAATGATTGGAAAGTGACCAAAGAGAGAAGCAACCTGAAATTAAGGAAAAACTTCCTAACAGTGAGGACAATTGGCTTCAGTGGAACAGCTTGGCTTCAGAAATCGTGGGCGCTCCATCACTGGAGGTTTTTAAGAAGAGGCTATACAGTCACTTGTCTGAAATGGTATAGGTTCTCCTGCTCGAGCAGGGGGCTGGACTAGAAGACCTCCAAGGTCCCTTCCAGATTCTATTCTATTCTATTCTATTCTGTTCTATTCTATTCTGTTCTGTTCTGTTCTGTTCTGTTCTGTTCTGTTCTATTCTATTCTATTCTATTCTATTCTATTCTGTTTGTTTCTGTTTCTACACTGCACAGGTCAAGTATCACCTCAGCTTCCAGGTGGTCTTCTTGAAAGGAGTACCAGAAAGAGAAGTGATACAGTACTCTAAACCTTTTTTGCAATCTTCCACTCCAATGCCACTGTGGTTCACACAATTGTTAAATACCATGAAGAGCAAGAAAGAATCCTCTGTGACATCCTCATCATCTCAGCCTGAAGAACTTTTTGCTCTTAGGCCAATGAAACCAACAGGACAGCCCAAGCTCAGGTCCGTCCTTTTTCCTGAAGCTCTACCTCTTAGCCAAACCTGCTGTCCCCCAAAAGAGGAAGGGCCATTCTTATTTCCATTCAGCATCTGATATCAAAGTAGAATTTTCCTCTGACCTGCAAGTCTTTTAAATAGCCTCAGTTGTTGTCAAAAGAGGCTATCTGAATGCTTCATTGCTGCACAGGGAGCAATTTTTGAGAGGTTTCTTTCTCTCTTTCTTTCCTTTTACTGCTCAGAAGGGAAAGGCTAAACATCCTTTCTCTGTCAAAGTGACTCTCAGCTCTGCAATACATCAGGATCAGAAGGGGCAGAAATAAGGGCAAACCTTGCTGTATATAATGCAATAGTCAATTTATTAATTCTTTTCCCCAGAACATATTTGGTTTTTCAAGTCCTAAAGAAACAGATGCAAACAGGTTTTTAGCTTTTATTAAAGTAGGGCTGAAATTGTATTTGGACATTGTCCAAAGCATCTGAAGGCAGAACAAGAAGCAACGGATGGAAACTAATCAAGGAGACAACTAACCTAGAACTAAAGAAAAAGTTCCTGGCAGTTAGAACAATTAATCAATGAAACGATTTACCTCCAGAAGTTGTGGGTACTCCAACACTGGAGCTTTTTAAGAAAAGATTGGACAACCATTTGTCTGAAATGGTATAGGAAGTTGGACTAGAAGATCTCCAAGGTCCCTTCCAAATCTGGTATGTTGCTATTCTGTTATTGTTATATGGGACATACTTTTTTTCTATGCTGCAGCTAAGAAATCCTTGTCAAAAACTTAGATCACCCAAACTCTGTGATGTTAAATTTGGGATTGCATCTGTGTTCTTTTTTCCATTTGGAATGGATGGGATGATTGGCTTTTATCCATCTGCATGCATTTTTCTTTGTTGTTTGATATCTGGAAGCATTCTGCCGCTCAGTTTATGGAACTTGCCATTTGTAGCAAATAGCCAATTGTGCTTTGGTAAGAAAGAAAGAAAGAAAGAAAGAAAGAAAGAAAGAAAGAAAGGAAGGAAGGAAGGAAGGAAGGAAGGAAGGAAGGAAGGAAGGAAGGAAGGAAGGAAGGAAGGAAGGAAGGAAGGAAGGAAGGAAAGAAAAGAAACCAAAGTGCCTTTTGTGGCTTGGACCAGCATCCCAGAGTATTTTATACTGTTTTGATTTTATGCATTTGCCCTATGCCGCACTCTACTTAGACCTTTCAGTTCATGC